CTCCTCACTCTCCGCCTCTTCTGTGGTTGTAAGGTCGACTTCTAATACATTCACCTCACTGAGTTTTCGTTCTGTCGATGCGATCGGTTTTGACGATGTTGGACTTGATTCGTCTTCCACATTGTCCCTGACTTCTTGAGTATCGGCCACCAGTTCTCGATTTTCCTGAACATTGTTTTCTCCGCCTATTAGCTGCCAGAATGAGAGCAGTCTTTGGTCCGCTATTCGTTGTTGTTCCGGTTCCAGTGACCATTTTACTCGTTGTGCTTGACGTGTTTCGCTGTCTGAGCTGTCCCTATTTTTTCTGCCTCCTCGTATAATTTTTCTCGTACGTTGTACTGTCTCTGTGATCTCCTCCTCTCCCGAGAGTTCGTTATTGGTGGAAAATGATCGGTTCCACTTTGGGTCCATTAGGCTTTCTTCACGCTCCTCGTTCCGCCAATCTTGTGGTGGGCTGGACCACCAGTCGTATGTTCTGTTTGCATTTTCTGACATCTCGATTCTTGAGTCTGTTTTTTCTATTTTTTTCGGTACTGGTAGTTTTTTCGTTTTGCAATTATTTAAGACTGACTGTTTGCTGGGTTGATTTGACAAAAGAGTGATTTGATTCTGTTGAACTGTTGAACTGTTGTGTTCAGCTGTTTTTGCAGTCGTGGAAACTGTTTTCTCTCGTTCCGGTCGAGCTTTGTTCGGTTTTGACCGTTTTGGTTGCTATAGCAACCATTACTTGATGACTGTTTCCTAACATTCCTTCTAGAACATTCTAGAACGTTTTCGTTCCGGTTGAGCGACCTTGAATCTTTAAGCCTACTGCTCCAGCAGTCGAACGCTTCATGAAAAGAGTTTATTGTTGCTACTACAAACTTTTCGTCTAATTCTGATTCGGGCCAGGGATCATTGAAAGGATCACGCGATAAATAATCAACTATGCCCATGTCCCTCCCCGGAATGTGAACTATGTTGAACTGATACGGCAGTAACCGGTCAACCCACCGGGTTAGGCGTGATTGGTAGGTCTTGTTCGATTGATTAACATCCAGTGCTGTTGTAAGCGCTTTATGGTCAGTTGCGATGGTAAATGGTTTCCCCAGAAGGTAGTGTTTATATCTATCTACTGCCCAAACAACTGCCAATAATTCCAACTCATTTGTTGAATATTTTTTTTCTTGCGCATTTAAGTATCGGGATGCGAACGAAATTGGGACCCACAACCCTTCATCATTTTGTTGTTCTAAAGTGGACCCTAGTCCATCATGGCTAGCATCGCATTTAACTCGTGTATCACGATTTGCATCGTAATAATGTACTTTCGTAATATTCGCCACAGCTCCTTTTATAGCATTAAATGCTTCTGTGTGAACATCCCCCCACTCGAATTTTTTCACCGGTAGTTTCATGTTTTTTAACTTTTTCTTTTGATTTTCTTCTTTAAGAAGTGGTCTTAATTTTTCTGTCAGACTTGCAACGTTAGGTATAAATTTAGCTAAATGATTTATACTTCCTAGAAATGACCTTAGTTGTTTTAGGGATTTGGGCGGGTTCAAGTTTACTACCGCTTCCGTTTTAGTGATCTTCGGTCTAACCCCTTCTTCTGAGAGATGATGACCCAACCAATTCACTTCTTGTTTGAAAAATTCACATTTTGATAGTTTCAGTGCCAAGTTTTCCGCATCCAATTTCTTTAATACTGCTTCTACTAGATTGGCATGTTCGATTTCACTTCCCTTTGACACAATAAGTATGTCATCCAGAAAACAGAACGTGTTTTTAGCGTGATTGATGGTTCTATCCATAGCCTTTTGAAATTCAGCTGGCATATCTGCTAGTCCGTAGAATCCTGTCAAGAATCTGTAACTTCCGGTTGCTTTTCCGCCCACAATGTTAAAGTTGCATTGCCTAGCTGTATCCGCAGCTAATTTTAGTTGACTGTACGCATATTTCAAATCTAACACCGAAAAATATAGCGTACCCTTTTTGTTTTCAGTTACAATCTGGCTTACCCCATCAATAGGTTCATCTACATTTGGCATTTGGTATTTGTTTTTGAACAATTGTCTATTGATTGGTTTCGCGTCCATTGCCAATTTTATTGAGTCGTCCTTCTTTACTGTTATCACAATCGGGGCGATAAAGCAATCACTTGTACACTTATCAAGTTTTGTTATATGACCTTCTGTCAATAACTTCTCGATTTCTTTTTCGACTTTATTTTGTATATGAATTGGGATTCTTCTCCCCTTTTCTTGTATCGGACATAGTGGGTATTTGAATTTTGAACTGACGATGTGGTTTTTAGAAATGCCTTGCCTTTCGAATAAGTTCTTAAATTTATTTAAAAAAATTTCTTTCCAACCTTCCGACTGCTCGCACATGAGCACGTCAAACCTGGTGAGTTCTTTTGGCGCTGTTCTTTGTGTAGTCACTATTCCCACTTGTCCTTGCAAGTCTAATCCCATGATGCATCTAGTTTTTCGCTCTGATACCAGAAAGGTTGCGCCCTTAACTTCCCAGCCCGCTGACCTCAGATTGGTTTTTAGGGCTCCCAGGATACTGATCGGTTGTTTGTTGTAGTCCACAAATTTTGTTTGTAAGTTCAATTTGTCAGACGGTATGAATCTCACTTTGTTTGATTTTTCCATGATTTCTTTCGTCGTTGCCCAGTTAAGAAATGAAACAGGACTACCAGTATCCACTGTTAGCTGAATAATCTGGTTATCTATTCGTACCATAGCCTTTAGTGACTTTACGCGGTTCAATGTTGGATCTCGAATAGAGTCTATTTTCTGAACTCTAACCACTTTTCCGTTTGTTTCTTTTCTCATCTCATTTATTCGATCTTTCACATATTTTGAAACTCGTTCATTTTCCGGTTGTTGAGTTTGTATCAACATGACTTCAAATTCACTACAGGACCCAACACCTTCACTGATCTGGTCGCATTCCACTATCGACTCTTCCGAATCTTCCGCAACTTCACTTACTTGTTGTGATCTGCACATTTTAGCGAAATGATTTGGTTTACCACAGTTTTTACAGTCCTTTCCCATCGCTGGACAATTTTTTAGGTGTCCTTGTTCAAACGTCCTTCCACATCTATTACATGGTTTTGTTTTCGTGTTTTGATTTTTGTTATTATTCTCTCTATTTCTGTCTGTTATTATTTTCTCTTCTATTTGGAGTTTTGGTTTTCCCCCCCAAATTTCGAACTGCCATTACAGGTTCCTGTTTTATTCTTACACCCGATGTGTAATTGCTACTTGATCCTCCTGCCGCCGCAGCATTAGTCTTTTGAAATGCCATTGTGGTTAACTTGCTATGTTCGAATTTTATAGCCCTTTTTAGAACTTCCTCTGGATCCAGGGTTTCGAATGTCAACGTGTCCTGTAATGTCATGTTCTTCATCTTCGAGATGAACAAGTCTCGCACTATTTCATTTTCCAATGTTCCTAGTTCTGATCGGGCTGCTTGAGCAGTTAACGCTGCGTGGAATGATTCCAGAGATTCTCCAGGTTCTTGCATTCTCGTAAATAACTTGTATCTCTCGTATGTTACACATTTCACTTTTTGAAACGAGACTTCTGCCAACTCTGTTACTTCTCTGAACGTCATTTTCGATATTTCTGCGTGCGGATTCTTTTGTAGGAATCTTTTCTTTCCCTCAGTGCCCAAAGATAGAAATAGTCGTGACACCAGTTTCTTTTGTACTTCGTTGTAGAAGACATTGTGTCCGACTCGTGGGCCTCTTGTTCTTTTCTCTTCGTTCTCCAATGCTACTCTGTCTCTAGCTAGTTTATCTCTAAGAATTCTGGCGTTCCTCGCATCTTCGTTCTCCCCATCCCTGGGCGTTTCCGGGCGTGGTGGTGGTTCCTCTAATATGTCTTTTGGTTCTTCCAAAATAATCTCTGGGTTCACATTTTCTTTGACCGTAACCGCCATGAGAAATTGTTCGAACCAGATTTTAAATTGCCACGGAGGGTCTAGATTCGCTGATGCCCAAAATACCGGGATTCCCATATCCGTTCTGTTGTCTTGAGCTGCGAATCCTGCTGGCTGCGCCATGTGATATGCGTTGCGATATCAAATTGAAAACAAGTTGGAATTCAATACTGTATTCTGAATATTGAATTTAGATTTTCTCTTTTCTTTGTTTTCTTATGTACTGAGAGATAGATCATTGTTAAGTACTCTGATCTCTCACTTAGTCTTAGTGTCATCACTTATGTATGACCTTGAGCGTACCATAAAATAATGATTTAACACCAGAGGTTGGCTGTACATACGTATAATAAATACTGCTACTGCAGTAGCGGTATGACACTAAGCAACTAAAAAGCTTTGATCGCTTTACGGTTTTTTTACGCTGTACCACGAGAATTCATCAAAACTTGTTTGGACGACCCAAAAATGAGGACATATTTGCAATTTTTCGTTTAAACTTCAGAAAAATGTGCGGAATATTTATGCTCGGAGTGTTTTCTTTTCAACTTTTTACTTTTCAACCGAGCGCTTTTTTACGGAGTGTTTTTAATATCAACTTAAAATCATTTTTGTATAGATCTCTAATACAAAGATTTTTTCAGGTCAATTTTCACAAACTAGTTTCAAGTTGGGACAATTTTGCCGACATAACTCAAATTGGGATAATTATTGTGCGATAAATTTCAGTATATTGAAGCTTTAGCGGCAAATTAAGTTCTTCCAAGTTGAACTGAAGCAAGCAATTTACTTTCAGAAATACGTTACCACATGCAAATTTAGGAAATGAATTTTTTCAATTCAAACTTTTCGTATTTTTTCGATTATTTTATACGGTTTTTTCAAATCAAAAAGCATTTGATTGATGATAGAGGGCATATTTGGAAGATTCCAGGCTTTGCCCTGATGTACGGGCAGAGCAGCCTTGTATTTATAATTACACCTATATGTGAAAACTCAAGGCCTCTCATACCAAAATTCACAGCTTTCTTAACTAGATGTTTTCAATACCAATGATATCTTACGTGCAACTCTGTAGATACAATGTCCAGATGTCAGAATCCACAGATCGCTCAAAATGGCCGCCCCACATTTATTGAAGACTGTCACATCATCGTTCAGAACATATACCCGAGCGTAGAATGGCCTGTAGGGACTTTTATGGCCTTTTATTATGGTCTCAATTGTGCTGGCTGATTCAGACAGGGTGTTTTTGCTCTTCGTTCTCTGCTGGGACCCAGGTGAACATAAAATTGAGAAAAACAGAAGTTGAATTAGGCAAAAATGAATTGTGATCCTCAATGTAAAGGCCATTTAATCCAAATCAATATAGCCAAAACTGAGTTAATGAAATGGCAACTAAACAAAGATTGAACGTGGCAAGGGCGTTCACAAATATGAACAAAATGGCTTGTCTGTTGTTCTCAGTTATATAGTTCAATCAAATGTAACAAAGTCTTCATCATCAACAAAATCCCGGTCATGAAAAAGGTTGTAGTTTCCGCTCACAATTGTTGTCAAATATGCGGGTTAATATCCGTTACCTGTAATCAAAGTTTGAAAATCGCTCTGCATTTCATTACAAGATCCTAATTGCACATTGCAACAGAATTAAGGTCAAAAAAGTTTGGTCATTAAATGCCACCCAAATAACAAACAGTTGTTTTTATTTTGTTTTCCTTTTTGCAATTCAGCAGTTCAGAGGCGGATATAGGACTTTCCTGAGAGAGAAGGAGTATTTTTAAAAATGAGTTAGAAGTTTTGTCGACATTTTCTGAAGGTCAGCCAAATCACGATTAAGAACCTGTTTTTAAAAAAGACGTTTTTGGCACTTTTTGGAAGTTTTTGACCTGCACTCTCCCACTAAGGGTTAGCATTGCACCTTTCGTATTGTTTTTTTTGGCAATCAAATTTGCATTTTTCACTCAAAACTTTTACCTTCTAAAAGCTCCTGTAAACTAGCCACTGCACAAGGCACAAAATTAACAAACTATGGAAAGATTCAGTTATCACTCATACCAACTCGAACAATGAAACAAAATAAACTTTTACTAAAAGCCTTCAAACAATTATTCCATATAACAAATAATAACCACAAAATATTTGGAATATCATTTATTACAAAACGCATCCCAACCATAAACATCTTAAACAGCAAATTACAGATCAAAGACAAGTTTACAAAACTCAAAAATAAATCTCTAATTTTTTCAAGGATTAAATAATCCAACCCCATTTTTTCTTAACATTCAAAACCACTAACAGGACATGCATATGAGTTTTTTGGTCAACCAAGCTCATCAAAACAACAGCGATCTAAATACACAAAAACTGTGGATGTCTGACCTTGAATTCAGACCAATTCATAAACTTTTTATAGTAACAATTTCATCTATAAAATACGCTATAATCACAAACACAGATACAATAGCGCTACATGAATATAATAATTCGCCATAGAAAACTGCACTTCCCTTAGAACTGTTAGAGTATTGCAAAACAAACGCAACATCAACTCCTACACAAGAAAAGGCATACAGAATATAATATCTTAAAACTGTTGCATATTTGTCAGTCACCATTACCAGATATATTCACCATTACACTTTCCACTTAAGCGCGGCGCAGTTTTCAAAAATTAAACGCCCAAGTAAAGATTCAACACACTTACAAGACAAAGTAAACCGACATTTGGAAATTTCTGAACAATACATAGTTATATCACTTAAAAAACGAACAACAATTCAAAAGAAATCCATTTTAAAACCCAGTTATTATTCTCGCTAATGGAGAATCACTCAAAACATTCTTAGACACACGTTTTTTAAACTATCTAATTGATGATTCAAAAAGCAACTTTCCCATAGAACCAATACAAGTAATGATCTCGGTAGAAAATAGACAATATTTTACCACCGCAGATTTGAGCAGTGCATATAATCAAATGCTAATACATGAACAATCAATTCGGTTAACACAATACGTTATTGAAAATTGACCATTGGAATTCAGTAGACTTTTTTACGGTATATATACAGGACCAGCAGCTTTAACTGCCCCTATGAGTAAAATTTTGAGACCACTAATTTTAAGCAAAAACGTCAATACATAATTAGACGAAGTTTTCATACAATTGCAAACAAAGCAAGGACTTTTTCAACGTTTCAGGAAAACACCACCAAATCTTAATAAAAGAAAACATGAAAGCAGACTCAGATAAATTTTTTTTCTCACTCCTGTGTAAAATTCCTTGCAAAAAATATAGAAGGCAACGCAATAATCCTCTTGAAATCCCAAATAGATGCAATTTTAAAACTCAAACCACTATCCAAAATTCAAGAAGTCGTTAGAATGCTAAGTTTTTTTAAATAAATTTATAAAATGCAGCTTTATCTCAGACCATTCTATAACATTTTTAGACAAAAAAAACCATTTTGAATGGACCTTAGAACATCAAAAAAATTTCTAAGAAATTAAAACACTCCTCAAAGAGCAACTTTCAGGTACCTTTCCAGACTCAAATTAGCCATTTTACGTTATGTCCGATGCCTCAAATTTCGCAAGTGGCGCAGTTCTTTTGCAATCACACTGAGGCACCAACAAAATGAAACTAATATCACCAACATTAGGTTTTTTTTAAACAAGCAGAACTAAGACTCTCCACACTCAAGAAAGAATATACAGCCATCATACATTTGTTAACAGAAAATGAATTCCTAATTCTTGGATCGAAACACCCAAAAGTTTTTTTTACAGATCATAAACTCATAATTTCGCTCCTTACACAAAAATCTACTCCTAACCATAGAGTATATAGATTTCATCTAGTTTTAAAGAATTTTCCAAAAAAAACATATAGTTTGGACAGCAGCAAAAACCGTGCTCTACCAGATACACTTTGTCAAAATACCCCAACCGAAATACTTAAACGAAAAACAACTGAGGAAATAAAATACCAAAAAAATAACATTCTTTTTCGCGAAAGACGAAACATCACCACGAAAAGAATGTAAATACGCATTCAAATTTTTCTCTGATACTAACGAAATCACAACGAAATAAATCATTTCCATTAATAAAAAGAGGAAGACCTAACGGGTACAATAATTTTGGCAGGCTCTCTCGAATCAAGTCAAAAGTAAGAAATCAACAAAATATTTGATTTAGAAGACCCTTTGGATAAAATATTACAATCAAAGAACGAAGTTGAAATAATTTTTCTACCTAGCACAGAAAAATTAACACATAATTACTAGAAATCTTGACCCTGTTATACGACAATTGAAATTTTGGCACATATACAAAACAAAAACCATTGAAGCCATTATCACAATTTTAGGAACTAAAACCTTACTCCGATTTTTTTTCAAATTTAATAATACGACGATAATTGAAAACACTGACATCTTAGAATACCCTTACCCTGAATTGAAACTACCCGGTGTACCACTAAGTCTAATGTTAATCGCATTTCACATATCACTTTCAAACAAATCAACCCAATCATCTGCTCGTACAACATATGTAGAAAAACCCTACACCTTTGAAAAAAGACACGCATCATTATCAGAGCCAATGATACCAGTCATCCGTCATGCAACCCTAAGCGAACCACTATACGAACCATCATTTAATATTTACCTCTCAATACAAGAAGACCTTAACAGAACAAGAAATTTGAGCCAAAACCAAAACCTAACAACTACAACAAACAGACAACTTATTCACCTTCGACAAAATAAAAGTCTAACATCCACAAGAGTTCAATTCAAAATCCCCTCATCACCATCATTATTTACTCTATACGTTCCTTATAGTACAATAAAAGTACGCTCACCACTCGGTATCTCTTCAATTCCCCCAATCCATCAATAAGACTTCCACATTGGATGACCCAAGCATTTTCTCAAGGCGAGCACAATTTTGTAAATGATCAAATAGAACTTTCTTCGTATACCAGCTTAAAATTACGAGAGTCATTATTCCTTCCATCAACACCTTCAGTCACCAGTCAAACACTATCAACTACATTTTCCACAAACTTTGCCGGTCATTTAGACGACATATACCGTCAACTACAATGCACAAATAAACCTTTACGCTTAAACTGGAACTCTTTTGTAGCACACCCTCAAACTTTTGGCCAATTCCTCGATTGTAGTGGACTCCGTATTTGGGCATTGAACAGACTAAAATATCGACACGATGTTCACAAAGACATTCATGAATATAATTTTCAGATACTTTCACAGCATAACTAAATTCTCAAGTTTGGCATAACGGTAAAATGAAACAATTTAGTACATCATCCATTACCATTGTCACCACCAGATATCACTGCTCAATCCGAATAATTGAAAACACTGACATCTTAGAATACCCTTACCCAGAATTGAAAGTACCCTTTTTACTACTAAGTCTTATGTGAATCCCATTTCTTATATCACTTTCTTTGAATACAAAAAGGACATGTAAGATCAGAAAGAACATATTCAAATTTCTCTCAAAACTTCTATTGTCCAAATGCTCCGATTTGGACAAAAGTACTTTGTAATGATTGTATCACATGCCAGTTAATTAAACCCTTTCCACACGAAACGCAAGCAACAGGTAAACAGGACTTCATAGGACAAATTTTGTGTTTTAACTATAAAATCTCATTCGGTACAAAAAGTCCCTATATCCCCCTCCTCATAAAGCAATTCGTATATACTGGTAATTGTGGATGCCTATAGATATTATGTAGGACTCAACCCTGTACACCATTGCAACGCTAATTATTGATACACAACTCTTTATGAAAATTGGATAGCAAAATTTGGACTACCTGAAATCCTTGTCACATATAAGGGATTAGAATGCAAAATAATGAAATATTTAACCCATAACATCTTCCTATAAACAAACAAAAACCTAGAACGTCACATGCCCCATGGACAAATGGACTAGTCGAAGGCATAAACCGCTCCATACAAGAATACCTTTGATGTATAATAAACTGAAACGACCAAAAAGACATCGATTGGTCAACAGATGTAAAATTATTCCCATTAGCATATAACTTTTAGATCACAACAAAATTTGGACTATCATCATCATATGAAATTGTTTTTAACTAAAAACTAAGCAAGCTTATAATGTTCACAGCAAATTCATCAAAAAAGCACAAGGTTTTTGTCAACCAACTAAAGTTTCAAATTGATACAAGCTACCACTTCACACTCATGGTGAAGATCATTTTCACCATCTACAAATTTTAAAACTAGAATCTGTAAACCACACAGAATGGATTTTAAACAGAGATAAAAAAAACACAATTGGCTTTTCCCCCAAATTGGCACAGTCGAACCCGCCAATGCACGTAAAATAAAACGTAAA